ATACATAATGTTGGTATTCTAGGAATAAAGTGTTTTTAATTCTTGAGGACAGGGCAGAACCCTGTAAACATCAACACAACTCTGAATAAATCCTATGTAGCAATTGTAATATCAGGTAAAAGAGTCATCGATTTAGAGATGGAAGGGATGCTAGAGGGATCAAGGCCACTCCCCACCTCATTTTACAGATGAGGAAACTAAAGCTAAGAGTCTTGCTAAGGGTCACCCAGTTACTGTCTGAGGCAGGCTTTAAACTCAGGTCTTCCTGATTCTATGTTTCTGTATTCAATAGAAAAAAAATATTGACAGCTGAAAGGATCTTTTCCTCTGATCCTTAGCAGTAAGAGTACTTCTATATCGTTCCAAGTACTTCATTCAAAAGCTGTTTTATAAGATGCAGTGATGTAGAAAGTGTCCTAGTGTGGGACTCAGGCCACTTGGGTTCTGGTCCTGTTTCTGTGATTCAATCAATAATTCAGAGCCTCATTTTCCTCATCTGTAAAATTAGGGGCTAGGACTCCAAAATCTCTAAAGTCACTTGCTTTAATGTTTCATAGCTCATGTTTGTGTTTGGTACAGAAGCAAGTCCTTTCCTCTATTTCTGATCTGCTTTTTATCACCCAACCTGGGATGATGGATAAAGAGAGCATGATGAAATGTGGATTACTGGGACACATACTGTTCACCTTCAGAGAACAGCTCTTTGGCTGGCAGTAGGAGGAGTGGAGGGAGGATGGTGATGGTAAATGATGGGTTGGGACTGTGAGAGAGAGAGAGGAAAGGGAGTGGCCATCTGTAACAGCTTGAATTTTATTTTATTTTTTGCCTGAAGCGGTGTATCATGTGCTTCTCTTAATCTGTCATAGCAAATATAATAAATAAAGCAAACTGATCTCCATTTTCCAGAGCTGTGAATGTGAAGCCAGTGGTATCAGTGAATGAGGATTATGAAAGCCTGGGTGGAATTGGAGGCAGGATAGGAATCTTGGTCTGCCAGCTCAGGGTGATGGTTTGGAATGACCCTTGCACTAAAAGTCAGGTGACTGGGCTACTAATGAGCTGGGTTACCTAGAACAAGTCTCTTGCCTGGTCTAGTTATCAATTCCCTCATCTACAAAATGAGAAAGTTGGACCAAGTGACCTCTTGGGCCTCTTTTAGTTTTAGTGTTATTTGTATGTTATGATGCAGTAGCATGATACAGTGAGAGGTAGGATGGTATAGTGAATAGACAGGTGACTTTGGAGTCCAAAGCACTGGGTTCAAGTCCTATCTCAGACACAGGCTATATGGGTGACCCTGGATAAGTCACTTAATCTTTACGGGTCTTAGTTTTCTCATCGGGAAAAGGGTGGGGTTACACTAGATGGCCTCTGAGGTCCCTTCTAGGCCTAGGTTTATTGTTCTGTGACTTATTTGAACACTAATGTTATTTCCCTGTCTGAAGACCTTACCTTCATAGGTTTTCACCATTAGGGCTAGAAGATACTTGAGAGGTCATCTAAAACAACCTTTTCATAGATAAGGAAACAAAAGTCTGGAGAAATTAAATGGCTCCAGGGGTGGGGAATCTGAGGCCCTGTTGACTATTTAGTCAAAGGGCTGTACTTGACGACCTAGAGGGCCACATGAGGCCTCGAGGCAGCAGGTTCCCCACCTCTGAATCTAATTCTAATCTTTTTATATGGGTTCTAATCCTGATCCTTGGGCTTCAAAAACTGTGTTTGCCACTATACCCTGCTGCTGTCTTTCACAAGTCAGATGTTTAATATGTCCACAAATGGATATATTTTTAATTGAGTATTGATTTAGGAGCATGGTTCTGCTGATGCCAAGAGAGAAAAAGGAGGGTCTTTGTCTGGGGACTCATTATAGGACATTTTCAGGCATTGCTAGGTCTCAAAGAGTACAGAAGGATACACTTTCCTGTGTTTGATTTTGTGTATGGAAATTATGCTATGCATATCTTTGAAATGACATTAAGAGATACTTTTTTTTTCTTTGTTCTTTCTTTCCCCAAAGAAAGTTGGGACAGGGGAAAGAAAATTGGGAACTAGGTGACCAGAAAGTAAAAAGTAGTCCCAAGTCATAGTTTTTGAGGACTACCCCCTTCAGACACATCTCAACTAGTGTCTAATTTTGTTCTAAGATAACAAAAAAAGGAACAAAACACTTATGTGAAACACCATTATAGGATGTGTGTGTGTGTGTGTGTGTGTGTGTGAGTGTGATATTTCCATGGGAACAATATTATAAAAGCTATTTGCCAAATAGTGTTCTAAAGGGATTGCAGAACTGGAGTTGTGTTTGGCTATAATGTGGTCTATAATGTGGTAATAGAATTATTGTGAAGCAAATGATCAGAATAAATGTGGATTGATTTCTTACCTAATTTTAAGCCTTTCCTCAAATGGCTGTGTGATGCTGGGCAAGTCACTTTAACCTTCTCAGCCTTGTCTTCCTCTTGAGGAACATGGGGCTGAAAATATCTGGCATCTACCTCACAGGATTGTTTTGGGGATTAAAAAATAAGATATGTCAAGAGCTTTGCAAATCGTAAATCACTGTATGAATTATCAGTTATCATCCTCATCATCAGGGCAACGTTAGGCAGTACATGGTGACACATTTGTTAGAGGCTTTTAGGATTAGGATAAAGAAATTTCAGGATTTAGGAGAAAGGCTTATGGATTGTTCCTGGCAAGTATTTGAAAACTGAAATCTTAGCTTGGTCTTAAATGACTGGTGGATGACTTAAGTGTTTTGGGCTGTAATGTGGAATGTTCATAGATTTTATTGTATACATAAATGAGCACATATTTATTTAGAATCATGATATAAAAGATTAAAAATTAGATTAAACGTGCATAAACTTGCCAGAGTTATTTCCTTTTAATATAGTGAATGATCTTAGCTAGACAACATCAGTGAAAACAAGCATTAGAGTATGCCCAGGTTGCTACTTATGGGAATGGGCCTAAAAGCAAGGCATATGTAATAGACTTCTGTGTCTCACTAATTTGAACTGGTTTTCATTTTATTAGGTGTGGGCTGAAACTTGGTTCTTCGAATTGCCTCTAAAGATAGGCCCCACTAAGCAAACTGATAGCATGAAAAGCTTGTAATGGGGGAATGCCTGAACCAGGGGTGGGGAACCTGTGGCCTCAAGGACACATGTGGTCTTCTAGGTCCTTATGTGTGGCCCTTTGTGAAGTTTGGTTTCAGTCAAAGGGCTGCACTTGAGGACCTAGAGGGCCACATTGTGGCCTTGAGGCTGCAGGTTTCCCACCTCTGAGAGAAAAACATAGTTTCAAACACTTTAGGAGCATCATTGACATGCAATTGATAGAAAATGTACAACTGTTTATTCATTACAGAATTTCCCTCTAAAATTTCCGTTTCATAAAACTTTGTTAGACTAGTTTTAAGTTGCTGAAAATATTTTAAAGTAATTCTTTTACAAAATATTCTCTAATTCAGATTTTTAATTTATATTGATTCAACTCCCCAATTCACTTGGGATATCCTTTTTCTTTGCTTTAATTGAATTTCCAGAGGAAGTGATATCTATTCTCCTCCAAGAATAAATCCATGGTGTTCATATTTATTCCAAAGATGAGACATCATGTGGGGCTCTGGGCAGCTGCCTTTTTGAGACCCCAGCTGCTTCAGAGCACAATACTAACTGCTGATACTCAATAGGTTTGTAAATCACAACCAAATCAGTAACATCATGATGTGTGTGTGTGCTTTTTTTTTTTTTTTTGAAATGGTCAAACAGTAGAGTGCATAAGAAAAGATTCAGTTTTGAAACAAATTCAGGTCCACGTGTGCATCTCTCTACAATTTTCCATCTGGAAGGTATTTCTGAAATGTTGACTAGGATCTGATAATATAACTGAGGGATAACAACTCTCTCCATCAGATTACAAAAGGAAAAAAGAAAAGAAAATTAGCAGCCTTGAGAAAAAAATGTCTCCAGTGTTCCCAGTGAGGTTCTATCTTAGGTCTCTACATGGGCCAATCCAGAAGACAACTATTGAACTTGGTTCCAGAAAACATTTACATATTAATCTGCTAAATTTTTTAACCCTTCCTTAGTCCTTTTTAATTCCCCCAATTCACTTTACATGCAGAAGAGAGGGTGAAGAGAAGACAGAGGACTAGAAAAAAAGAAGAAAAGGTCAATTCAATAGGGGACATATATACACATATACGTATATATATATAAGTATGTGTGTGTGTATATATATATACACACACACACACACACATATATCTAGATATGTACATATATATACAGAGACATAGTTGCATGCTAGAAATCAAAAAAGGGACAACATTCTGGCAGATGAGAAGTAGAAGCTGAAAGCTTAAGAGTTTGAGACAAAAAAAAACAAAAACAAAAAACAAAACTAAGAAAAGGGAAAAGCTTAGGATATGAAGACATTTTCTAAGAAAGATTAGAAGAGAGCTCTGATGTAGAAAGGGAAAGGACGTTATTAGATAAGGATCAAAGGAATAAGAAACAGTAAAGAAGAATGAAGTGTTCATGTAGAAGGAAATAGAAAGTCCAAATACATTACAGACACATTTATTTTTTAAAACGACATTTAAAATGGTTAAAAGGGAATATAAAATAAAAGATGTGAAGAGAGAGTGAATACCAATCAAAGAAAAAACAATGTAAAGAACCTAAAAGAGTTAGAAGAGGAAGGCAAAAGTAGCCCTCAGAATTTAGCTGATCAGCCGTTTTATTTCATCAAAGCACTGACCCCCATTTCATATTGAAACTTGACACAGAGTAACCAGATGCTGCTGTTAGCTACTGAGGAGATGAGAGGATTAAATCATCTTTGGTAAAATATGGATGGTAATTTTCCGTAGGTAGGAGGAGTAAGTAGGTTCTGTTATCCAGAACATTGTACTCTTTGTATAATGGCCCACTACTCACAAGTGGTCTCTTTACCATGTGAATTTTGTCACTGTCTCATTTAGCCCCTCTCCCCAAAGCCTCAAGGAACCATTTTTCTCATGTCTGCCATAACTCTGCCCTACCCTTGGCCTTGGCAAGCTTCTGATTTTGGGTGCCCCCAACTGATAGGGGACACAACGGGGGTATGCAGTGTCTTGTTTGACTTCAGATCATCTCAGACACCCACTGCTGCCTCTGCCCTCTCACACATTCGTTGTAGAATGCGGTGAATACTGGTGAAGCTGGGCCTGTCTGCAGGCAGCTTGCTCCAACAGAGACGCATCAGGTTGTAAAGCTCTAGAGGGCAGTTCTCGGGGCAGGAGAGGATGTTGCCATCCCTTACATAGAAAATCACCTCCTCGTGTGCCATCCCATAGTAGGGCTGCAGGCCATAGGAGAATATCTCCCAAAGGACCACCCCATAGGCCCAGACGTCAGACTCTGTTGTGTAACGATTATAAAAAATGGACTCTGGGGGCATCCAGCGGATGGGGATGGCATCGTTTTCATTGGCTTTGTAGTAGTCTGCTGAGTAGATGTTCCTGGAGAGGCCAAAGTCAGCAATCTTCACCACCATATTATTACCCACCAGACAGTTCCTGGTGGCTAAGTCCCGGTGGACAAACTTGCGCTCTGAGAGGTAAGCCATGCCAGCTGCTACCTGCCTAGCAATGCAGAGCTGCTCAGCACAACATAGGGGAGGAGGTCCTGGGCTGGACAGTCGGACCCTGGTAGCCAAGTTACTGTGGCTGAGGTTGCACACTGTCCGAGGCGACATGTTTCGGAGGTACTCATTGAGGTCCCCATAGGCCATATATTCGAACAGCAAGCACATCGGCTTACCAACAGCACACACTCCTAGAACCAAAACAGTATGGTCAGCAAACTCTATTTAAGTTAAAAGTGACATGGAAAGTAAAAAAAGTCATGAGATCTTGGGCCTCATTAAGACTTTTTTTTTGAATGATTAGTCTTGTTTGACTCTTGGTGACCCCGCTGGGGTTTTCTTGGCAAAGATATAGGAAGGATTTGCCATTTCCTTCTCCAGCTCATTTTGCAGATGAGGAAACTGAGACAAACAGGATTAAGTGACTTGCCCAAAGTCACACAGCTAGTAAGTGTCTGAGGCCAGATTTGAACTTGGGTCCTATGGTCTATCTACTGTGCTGCTAAGCTACCCTAAGAAAGACATAGGGACAGAAAAAATTAGAGGTGATAGTTATATAAATCACCTAACCTCTTTGGGTCTCAATTTATTCATCTGTGAAATGAGAGATTAGGCTAGAGGACTCATGAGGTCCTTTCTAGCTGTCTATGTATGATCTATGACCTAATTACTGCCTTGTCTTAGCAGGTAAAGAATTCTCTGTAAGTTAAGATATTCACTTGTTGAGAATGCTATAGGGGATTTCTTTCAGTTTCATGCTTCAGGTGAGACTTTGATTATCTGACCTCTGAGGTTCCTTTCAAGTCTTAAGGGTCAAGAACCGACAAAATTACATTTTTTGCTTCATTGTTGTTTCAATCTGAGGCAGGATGGTGGAAAGAACACTGGACCAGGAGCCAAGCCCCAACCCAGCCATGTAATGGTCAAGCAACCCTTGGTAGCGCTTTACTATTTAGTCCAATTTTTATTGATCTATACAATGAGAATAATAGTACCTGTCCCATTAATCTTACAGGTTGCTGAAACACTCAAGTGTGATAATATGTGTGCAGGGATTTGAAAACTAGGAGGTGCTATATAATTGTAAAAGCATTATTGCAATTATTTTTCTATCAGTGATAGTAATAGAAAAGATGGCGTATGAATAAGGATGTTAAGGGATTAATAGGTAACACTTTAAAATGCCCTAAGATTCTTGAAGGCACTAAAAAGTAGAGAATTTTTGAAATTCTTATCCTGAACTATTTTGATAAAATGCCATTTCCATGTGGTTTAGGCAGGTAAAAATTTGAATATAAAATCTTTTCCTTTCTCTCTGACACCACCTCTCCAACCCTTAACTTCCAACCCTGATCTTGAGATTTTTACTAAGATTTCACATTCTAAGGGCTTCATCAATCAGCGTATCCTTATAGACAAAATTAGAAATTAATAAATAACTATACCTTATTACACTGGGCAATTGGATGTTCCTTCCAGAAATTTCTCTAGAAATAAGGTACTATACTACCTGTGAAGGTATTTAATAAGATCCTGCCTGTGGTTTTCTAGGTTGTTGACGGTACATGTCTCCTCCTTCCCCAAAGTAGCAAATATAGAGTGGTTCTGAGGAGAAAGAATGGAACTTGGTGTGAATAAGGCCTGGGCATAAATTCCCCATTAGACTTTTAACTACTTGTGTGAAGCCTGGGCAAGATATCTCTCTGAGCCTCAGTTTTCTAATCTATAAAATGGGGATTAATAATAGCACTTACTTCTTAGGGTTGTTGTGAAGATCAAATAAGATAACATATGTAAATCACTTTGTAAAGTTTAATTACTATTGAATTATTGATAATAACTAACAATTATTATCTACTATGTACAAGGCACTGTGTTTGGTGCTATTCTTTGTTGTTTGACACATGACAATTATAATTGATTTGTGGGTTGGTTTTTTTTTTTTAACATCAAACCTCTCTTAAGAGTAGCAAGGTTTTTCCCCTAACAGTTCTCACTATATTCCTGGATGGTAGGTCATTTTAAGGTCAAGCAGAAAAAGCCATAATCTGGGAATCAGAAACCCTGAGTTCTGGGTATAGCTCTGTCATTAACTGATCTCAGAACAAGTCTCCGCAGCTGGCTGCAGTTTCCTTATCTGCGAAGTGATGAGGTGGGACCAGATGATTTAAGGGTCTCTTAAGGTCCAAAATTCTATGACTATCTCAGGCACTTCTGCCTTTTTCTAACATATGGATTGAGAAACTGAAGCGTGTTGGAATGTCTGTGCTGGGACACACTCGTTGTACTTAGAAAGGACTGATGTTTGATCCAGGGACCTGAAGACCCTGATCTAGGAATCTGACTAGGCTCCTTTCATAGGAAATGTTACCCTTTATTATAGATTTAAAAGGAATAGGAAGTTGTGCATAATAGCTTTGCTGTTTCATGTGCAACCCATCTTTTTTTTTAAAATTATACTATGTTAGGGAAATGCTTGTTTTATTCCATAAATTAAAAATAAAATAAATATTTAAAAAAAAGAAACGTTATCCTAGCCTGAGTGTCCCTTAATGTTTGTCCAATTCTTTTTCTTCTCATTGCCATTTCCTTCCAAGAAATTGGAATTGTTAATGAAATATGCTTGAGAATACAACTGCAAAGAATGAGTATCAGGAGAACCAGACTGAGTGTTTACAATGCATGGCCAGTGGCATTTTGATGCATTCCTCCACGGACACCAGTCTCATTCTGAGCTTTCTATTGGGCAATATAGACAATTCTGTTGCTAGGGGTTACTTTGACACACATACTGTAGGGCTTATCCCTAAACCATGCAAAGTCTGTGACTGAAAGACAATGCTTCATTACTCCCAGTGGTCTGGGTTATTGTGAAATCCCAAATTCTTTCAGTGGAGCTGTGTTTGGAGAGACAGTAAACAGGACCTGGGATTGGAGCTTGAAAGTCATCTATTAGAAGCTTCTAAGTCCCCTGGGGGTTCTAGTCCCCTGGCTTCCCTTTCACACTTTAAAAGGGCAAGTTACATTAGGACCTCCCTATTGTCCTGTTCTTGGGGTCCAGGCTGTGACAGCAGCTTAGAGGAGGAGGAACAATGATAATAATAGCTAACATTTCTATAATAATACTTTTAAGGTTTTCAAAATTCTTTCCAAATATTATCACATTTGGTCCTCACAGCAACCCTGGGAAGTAGATGTGATCATTGACCCACATTGAAGGAAATAAAGTGACTTGCCCAGGGTCACACAGCTAATAAGTGTTGGAGGTGGAACTTGAACTCCAATCTTCCTAATACTAGGTCCAGTGCTTCACCCCTTCCCCAAGTAGCCAACCTTTGTGATATAGTAAACAATGCCCTGTGATGAATATAGAGTACTTCAGGAACAAAGGAGCATAGATTTACAGTGGGAAGAGCTCTTATAGGTCATTGAGTCCAACTTCCTTATTTTACACATGAGGAAACCGAGGCCTATTGGGGTGAATTGATTTGCCCAGTGTTACACAGCTAAGAGTGGTGAGTAAGAATTTGAACCCAGCTCTTCCTGACCCCAACATGTCCCATACTATCTCAGGAATATGGTGTATATTAGAAATAAACCAGAGACAGTAATGGACAGAACCAAAAGGTTCACAGTAAAACTGTGAGATTAATTTTTTTCTTTTAAATAGAGGGTGTCACAAAGGCGATATAGGAAGTAACACAGAGTAAGGGGAAAGAAGGGCCAGTGGATTAATGCATTTGCCTTCCTGTACTTTCAAGTTGGTTCTTTACATAGGAATCTGGGAAAACAGAGAAGTTTAGTGTCAAATGACTAATAAGCTTATGTAAAGGTTATATGTAAAAGTGTTTTGTAGATGCTTCCAATACACAATTGAAAAAGATTTTTAAAAAATCATTTGTAAACCTGTATTTTCATAAAACTCTTAAAAATTAAAGAGCTGTGAGGATAGAATAGAATATAAGTGAAAGTGGTGTATAGCACTCTACAGGAAGGCAGCATGCTGGAGTGAGAAGGGCCCCAGCACTAAAGTCAGGGGATATAGGGTGTGAATCCTGGTTCTGTTACTTACCATCTGTTGAACAAGTCACTTAACCCTTTGTATTTCAATGTCTTCATCTGTCTAGTTGTCTTACATTTGGCTGGCAGCTAGGTGGAGTAGTGGATAGAGAGCTGTACTTGGAATCAGGAACTGAATTCAAATACTGCTTCAGGAACCTTTCTAGCTATGTGACCCTACCTTAGTTCCCTTATCTGCAAACTGGTGATAATAATATAGTACCACCTCACAGGGTTGTTGTGAGAATCAAATCATACACATACACACACACACGTATGTATGTATATATATATACATATACATATGCACACATAAATGCATATATGCATATCTATATAGATACATATACATGTACATACATATATAATGTATATATATACATGTGTAGAGATGCATATCTATATAGATAAATATATATGTATATACACACACACTAGCTAATATTTATATAGTGCTTACTATGGGCCAGGCACTGTGTTAAGTGCTTTACAATTACTATCTCATTTGGTTCTTACAACAACCCAGGGAGATAGGGCTATTATTACTCCCATTTTGCAAATGAGAAAATAGAGGCAAACAAAGGTTAAGTAATTTGTCCAAGGTCATACAGCTAGTCAGTGCCAGAGGATGGATTTGAGCTCATGATTTCCTGACTGTAGGCCCAATGCTTTATTCACTGTGCCCTCCTAGCTGCCCCATATATAATGTACACGTAACTTTGTAAACCTTAATGTGCTATATAAACATTAGCTGTAATAATTTTAATAATTATCTGACATGGTTGCTGCAAGTGTTATATCGGGCAATGAATGTAAAGGGTGATATAAATGTTTTCTATTATATACATATAAAATATCAGGAAGCAATACGGGCATTAAATGTGCCTTAAGAACCAAATCAAAAAAGAAAGAATTGAGGCAATAGGGAAGTTTTATCACAGGGTAGCTAGCTTCTTCTTGGAATTATACCAAACCCACCTTTTGCTTACCTATAGTTTCTTTTTTCTCCCTGAGAAATGCAAAGTGTTTTCCAGACATCTTGCTTTTTCTGACACCAGCCAAACAAAGGTGTTGCATGGATGGAGAAACTGAGTTGCATGAGCAGTGATGTCACTTATCACTGGCGGTATTGCCATAGAATAGCAAATCACATGACTACTAGGGCATGCATCTAAGCACTGGATACCTGTTTTGCTATTTCTTGGCCTACGAGAACCTGATGGGGTCTAAGGAATGCCCAGCGGTGCCATGTGCAAATAATACAGAGGCAAGAAAGAGAGAATCACGGAATTTTAGAGCCAGAAGGTATATCATCTATCACCAACCCATTATAATATTATCTGATAACTGGCTATCCAGAAAGGAAGCAAGAAAGGGAGAAAATGGAAAAAGAAAAAAGAAAGAAGTAAGCATGATGCCTTAAAGGCCACCAGCAATTAATTCAGGTGATATTCACTGGAACCAATGGAATAAATCACCTATCCTTGCAATATACTGCTCTTGTGTGAGAGACAGCATGGTATAGTGCAGGGGTGGGGAACCTGCGGCCTCCGGGCCACATATGGCCCTCTAGGTCCTCAAGTGTGGCCCTTTGACTGAATCCAAACTTCATAGAATAAATCCCCTTAATAAAAGGATTTGTTCTATAAAAGTTGGATTCAGTCAAAAGGCTGCACCCAAGGACCTAGAAGGCCACATGTGGCCTTGAGGCCACAGGTTCCCCACCCCTAGTAGAGTACAAAGGGCATTGGAAATAGGGTCATGGAACCCCAGGGCTCAATTCCTTGCTATGCTACTTAACCTGTGTGACCTTAAGTGTAGGTCATGTCCTGTCCTCCACATCTCAGCATCCTCATCTGTTTGTAGGGAGACTGAAGATTTTGCTGGCCAAAATATAGCACTTAGGCTTCAATGCAAGAGAATTTGAATCAGAGAAGTTATAAGTTAAAGAGGTTTGTTTCTCCATCTACCTAGTCTGAATTCCTAGCTTTACTATGCATACCTGTCAGCAGCAAATGGAGGGAGACTGAGGTTTTCATTGGCCAAAATCAGTCTTCACCAAAGTCTACAGGCTTCTGGGAACCTCATGTGAGAGGGGAATGCCACAGGTACTACCTTCAAAATGAAGAGCTTGCCACATGTGGCCCTCACTTGAGGACCTAGAGGGCCATGTGTGGTTTGAGGCCATAGGTTTCCCACCCCTGGAACTTAGACTCAAAGATCTCTGAAAACCACTTTGGTTTTAAATCCCCTGATCCTATAATTGTTAATTCACTGTGCCCCACCAGCAATGCCTGACCACTGTAATCCTTTTCATTGCAAATTATCCAAACTTCCCTAAGTGGGTGATGGGAGCGCTGCCCTTAGAGTCACCATCGCTGATCTGAGTTTTGGGAGGGGCAACTTGAGGAATAATCCATAGCTTCCCAAAGAAAGGCCTGATTGTGCATTTTCCTTTCTTACCTAGGAGCCTAACGATGTTTGGATGGTCAAATTCTGCCATGAGGGCCGCCTCCCTCTGGAAGTCTGCCTGCATGTCTGCTGAGGCTTCTTCTTTCAGCATTTTCACTGCCACCATGGTAAAAGGCTCATAAGGTCGTAGGCCTGGAGCTCTGAGAATCAAAAATGGAGATCAACGTTTATGGATATTCCATCCGCCATACTGGTCCAAATAGAGGCTACAGCAACAATGCTAAGTTTGACTTCTCCCCAATTCTGGTTTTAACATGAATATGGTCTAAAATTGGTGTTATTTTCCTTTTCAGAAAGATTTTATTTTAAGGTCTATACTCAGACCAATATGAATGCCTCTTCAAAGGAGAAGATGAGGTTAAGGTTCACAAAGTAATTACATATATTATCCCATTTGGTCCTAAAAATTCTGTGAGGTAATTACTATTATCCCCATTTTACAGAAGAGGAAGCTGGGGGAATCAGAGGTTAAATGACACACTCAGAGTCACACCACCAGAGAGTAACTGGGCAAAAAATGTGAAGCCAGATCTTCCTGACTCTGTGTAGAGAGAACTTTACCTACTAGGCCCTTCTACCCACCTCCACCTAGCATTCTTAATCTTTTCGTGTGTGTCATGGATGCATTTGGCAGTCTGACAAAATCAATGGACCCCTTTTCAAAATAATCTTTTTAAATGATTGAAGGAAGTGCTAAATTCCAATTAGAGAGTATTAAAAATAAAAATGTATTTTTCCCCATTTGTGGAACCCCTGAAATCTGCCTGTGGAGCAGGTAGGTTAAGAACTCTGGCTCTAAGATGATATGAGGACTACTCTTTTACTAGTAGTGACTGGATTCCACAAGAAAGAAGTTAAGATAAATTTAACATTTTAACTTGATTCATTAAGCAACATAATGTGAGAAGATCTTACTCTAGGACCAAAACTTGGTTTTTTTTGGGGGGCGGGGGTAGGGTATGGGTAAGGGGTGGTGGCAATTAAGGTTAAGTGACTTGCCCAGGGTCACACAGCTAGTAAGTGTCTGAGACTGGATTTGAACTCGGGTCCTCCTGACTCTAGGATGCTCTATCCACTATGCCTATTTGCTGCCCTAGGACCAACATTTCTAATATGCCTCTAAATAACAGGTCTGGCTTAGAACTTCTCAACCCTGCATTATGGCAGCTGCAACTTGGAAGTTATTGGCAACACTTTCCTCGTAGGTTCCACTTGGAAAAATATATTGTTTTGGTGTGATAGAATTTATGAGCTACTGAAGATCTAAGAATCACCAACCTCTGTGACTATACATACTACTTTGGGAATCTAATGGAGGGTGTCTAATGGCCTTGGTAAATGTGAGTGGGATTGTGTTTTTTCAGGTCTAATTGAATATTTAAGACACGACCACCCATTAAAGAAAAGTTTTTAGAAGGGACATAAAACAAAGTTGTTGTGAAAATGAAAATAATGGTTATCAGCTTTGGGGAACGAAAAGAAATGTTGAGACCCAAAGTGATCCTTTCATCCTAACACACTTTCTCATTTTATAAAAATGCATATTTCATCTCTCTTTTTTAATAGAATTAATCTATTAATCTATACAGAACCATAAAATGTTAGAGCTTATAGGGCCATTGAAGATGATCTAATCTCTAAGATTACTCTATAGTAATCTTTACTAGAGAGATGAGGAACTTGAGGCCAAGAGAGGGGAAGTTACTTGGTCAAACTTAAGTAACAAGTTACTGGCAGAGCCATGACCACCACTAAAGTCTTCTGGCTCCTATACTTTGTTCTTTCTCCTGCCCCATAATCAGGAATATTATTGTCTGTAAGAGAAGAAAAATTTGAGAATAATCTTTAAAACAAAGGTTTAAAGTGATCTTTAAATGAAATGAAATAAATACAGCAATAGAAAATTGGTAAGGGAATTTGGAAATTTGAAAATAATGCACTATATTAAAAAGTCATTTTATGAATATACAAGGATAATGGGAGCCCAGATTTAGAGTGGGAAAGGGTCTTAGATGCCATTTAGTCCAACCACCTCATTTTACAGATGAGTCCATTCTGCAGCATTAAATGGTCGATTAGATTTAATTGACTCTTAAGTATCTGCACTTCTGTGTGATTTTGTTTACACTTGTTCTTCATCCCTTATTTTCTTTCCCATGCACCATGATCCTTTATTGCGTGTGCTATATTTCAGTCATTTTTCAGCCATGTCCAACTTTTTGTGACCCCATTTGGGGTTTTCTTGGCAAAGATGCTGGAGTGGCTTACCATTTCCTTCTCCAGCTCATTTTACAAATGAGGAAACTGAGGCAAAGGGGTTAGGTGACTTGCCCAGAGTCCCACAGCTAAGTAAGTGTCTAAGGTCAGATTTGAACTCTGGAAGATGAGTCTTCCGATTTTACACCTCTTACTCTATATACTGTGCCACCTAACTGTCCTGCATGTTACATACTGTATGCCAAATTAAATGGGCAAACACTTTTAATCAAGATATTTAATAATTTGGTAAAAAAAAACCTGACATGCAAAATTTTATACATATCAAAATTCAATGTGGTTCCTTTTCACATCCCACAACACCCTCATAAAAGCCACCAAAAGCACTTTCAAAGGGAAAGGTGCACATCTTTCAACAATAGAAATATTTTTCTTTAGAAACTTTACCTTGCTTGAAAGACCCTTCCAAATGCTCCTTCTCCAATATCTCTCACATATTCAATATTGTTTCGTGGATACTCCAGGCTGAGGAGTTTGGGGTTCAGAAGGAGTGGCATGCGCTGGTACATAGGGTTGGGATGAAGTCTGTCCAGCAAGAGCTCAGAAGGGAGAGTTGTGAGTGTGGGGGTTGCAGATTCCCTGCAAAGAAGAGCAACACATAAATCTCAGGATTGGTTAAAGCAGGGACTTCTTTTACTCTTTCTCCCCAGCAATAATGCCTTCAAAGGACACCTAATTTATTGGTCAAAAAGGTTGGAAGGGCCCAAGGAGTCCTTCTGGAAGGTCATATCTACACCAGTGCGATCTAAGTGTGAATACAATGCGACCCAATAAGCGCTTAAGAAGTGCCTATGTCAGGGCAGCTAGGTGGTACAGTGGATAGAGCAGAGGTGCTAGAGTCAGGAGGACAAGAGTTCAAATCCAGCCTCAGTAACATAACACTCATTAGCTGTGTGACTCTGGGCAAATCACTTGACCCCAATTGCCCTCACCAAAAACAAAACAAAAAATCAAAAGAAGTGTCTATGTGCCCAGTTCTGTACTAGGTGCTGAGGCAAGAAAGACAAAACAAAACAAAATTTCTTTCCCTCAAAAAGCTTTCATTTTATTGGACATACTCCAGATTTAACATTAGACTGACTCCAAAGAAACACAGAAGTCTTTTAAATTGTTCAATTGGGATTGTTTTGTTCCTTGTCCTTGTGTTGTCCACATTACCTCCAACAATGTTGGGTGCGAACAGGTGTTTAAAAAATACTTGTTGACTGATTGGTATTCAAATCATTTGGCACATTCCATAATGACTACCAATAATACCACTATAATTGTTATATAATTACCCAGCCCTTTCAGAACTACCTACCCTGCCAAGTAGGCAAAAAAAGAAAAATCTAAACCCATTAATTCTCTCAAACAACTATTTTGATGAAAATAAAAGATGGTCCTGTGGACCTCTGTCCTAAAAGGTATGACTATTTTTTTTTTTACAGCCATGCAACCTTTATTAAGGTACACAGAGGAAAACCACAAACACCTTCTTTCTTGGCATTACTATTTTTCTTAAAAAAAAGTTTAATTGATGGCTTTTTTTTTTTACAAATGTCATTTTCTGATACTCCCTTATCCTTAAATGAATCCTACCTTGTAACAAGGAAAAACAGTTTAAGTAAAACTGACCAGCAAAATGTTTGATGGTATGTCCCTATCGTCCTCTGCCTGTCTAAGGAGAGGAGGAAATTATATACTTCCCCATTTGTCAAGATATGCCAAATTATTTTTGATAATTACTTGCAAAGCAGGATGACTAATGACAGAGGCAGACTGAAGAAAATAACTGTAGTCAGGTGTTACTCTTGGTTGAGATACCTAAGGCAGGACTTCTCTCCTCAGTTGAGGGGCTGACTCAAGAAAAGCCTGATTTTACCTCTTCTTATTTTTCCACTGTCTTCGCCTTCGGCGGCAGCAAAGGAGAGCAGTCACGGTGAGAAAGCCAATCACTGCAAAGCTGGAGATGATGGAGATGATGACCGTCATAGAGTAGGTAGGTGAAAATGCAGATGAGGAAGGTCGTTCTGGAATGTCTGCACTGGGTTTGACGGTTACCAGTGGGGAGACTGTGAGAAAACAAAAAAAAGGTGGGTTTTGGTTCAGTGGCAAACGTGAAAGGAGGTTCTGAACTGAAAGTCAGCTGGGAAAGAAATTATACATTCTGAGTCAAGTGCCTGGGGCTGGGGTCTTCCTGATTACTCATTTGACTCATGCAAACTAAACATCAACACCAGTCCCTAAGGGTTATAACTGTTATTGTTGTTCAGTTGTGTCTGACTCTTCATGACCCCATTTGGGATTTCTTTGGCAAAGATACTGGAGTAGTTTGCCATTTCCTTTTCCAGTTCATTTTACAGATGACAAAACTGAGGCAAACAGGGCCAAGTGACTTGCTCAGGGTCACACAGCTAGTGAGTATCTGAAATCAAATTTGAACTCGGGTCTTCCTGACTCTAGGATATCACACTATCCACTGTACCACCTAGCTGCCCCAAAGTTTGCAAAGCGCTTTACATATATCTCATTTTCTCCTTACAACAACCCTGGGAGGGAAGTGCTATTATTATCCTCATTTTGTGGATGGGAAAACTGAGGCAGACCTGGGTTAAGTGGTTTGTCCAAAGTCACACAGTTAAGAATCTGGGCTAGATTTGAATTCAGGTCTTTCTGACTCCAAGTCCGGCACTCTGTACACTGTGACAGAGAATTATCTCAAACTGCCTCAAAGCAGAGATGTTTATAATTGAAGAAACCTGAGATCTCATTTAGTTTTCCCTTCTTATGTGGCTGATCAATCAGTAAGTACCTACTACGTGCCTTGAATCGTGCCCTGGACATACAAAAAGAGGCAAATGATAGTTCCTGCCCTCAAGGAGCTTACAATGTAATGGTGTGCTGATAAGGAGGCTAAGGACCAGAGAGGTCAAGTGGTTTACCCAAGGTCACATAGATGTCACATTGAGCTCTTATTATAGACAGGACTGGAACCCAGGCCAGGGATGAGTTTATCTTACTATATCTCTTATGACATTGTAACTACAGCTGTGAACATTAACTGATCTTGAATTTTTGTCCAAAATATGCTTCCTTTACCAGACATCCCAGAAGATCATCGACCATGGTCCTCCCCAGCTCCTACAAAAGCAGAGGCTAAAAGGAAATGCTTTATTGTAGCCAGTTCTTGAGGATCATTCTCTTTTGTAAAATCTATCATTAGGGTGATAGGTATTGGGCATCGGAGCTTTTCAATAGCAGGTCATGTGATCAGAAAAAATAAAAATAGTTAATACTTACATAGTAATTTATATGGGGATCTCATGAATTTAATTATCGTATTAATTATATATTTATATAAATATATATTAATAGCTATGTATAATATAGTATTAATTATGTGCACTTTGAGGAGAGATATATCATATATGTGATTTCATCAGTGTGGGAAATTCCTGGTATAGAAAGGCCCTCCACCAGTGAAGATCTGTTTCTCTGTAATTTAATCTTGCCTGGGGTACTGACAGCTTCCAGGATCAGGCAGCCCAGATGTGTTAAAGGTGTGACTGTTGAGGTTTAGCTATTAGGGGTGCTGGGACCCCAAAATAACATGCAGGTCCTGCCTGAAAGAATTTGACCCAAACCTTCTTTCAGCCAAAGACAAGGTTTATTAAAGATGAACCATATAACCACATAGATTCCTAAGGAATCTGACCATTTGTGACACTCATAAGGACGGGTGGGCATGAGGAAGTCTCAGCCCCTAAATGGCGACCAAGATGGATCTTATATACAGAAAGACTATGGGAGGGATCTAGGAGTGGCCAAGTAGTTTGGGATGACTGGAGGAGGGGCTAGGAGAAGGGGTGTCTTGATGGGAGTAGCCAGTAAGCTGGGGTGAATAGAACACCAGGGACCTGGAAAACATGGCCAAGGGAGAATGGAGTCTAGATAGGATTAAGGGTCGGGAGGTAGCAGAATTGGGAGACTGGGCCACAGTGAAAGGCCTGTTGAGTGAATTACAGCCTCAGGAAAATGCCAGGGATTTGGGAAGGTCCAAGGATTTTTCTTTTTGGGGTCCAGATCCCAAAGACATGTTCTTTTCCTTTTAGGGATTCAGGTCCCATCCTCATCAGGACTTATACTGGTCTTTCTGACTCCCTGACTAACTTTCTAGTCTCTCTCTAGTATACCTCATTGCCAATCTGACACGATAGCTAGGTTTAGGAGTGGGAAAATAACTTAGAAAACAAAGAAGATAATAATTAAATGCACATTGCTTGTTATGTACATTGCTAAGCACTGTATATAATTTCAATTTATCTTGTTCTCTATTTCATTTTATGAAGCATGTAGCTCTAAAGACTGAAAAGAGGTAACTCAAAGGTGAGAGAGTGTTGTTCAGAAATGCAATGGCTCACTCTGGCATGGGTGAAAGATGAATTATTGAGGATTTGGATTTTAATTTGGGAACAAAAAATTTCAGTGTTAGTCATGGAAGCTGCAGTGTAATCTTAAAGAAATTAATTCAAACTATTCATTGGAAGGACAAATCCTGAAGCTGAAGCTTACGTATTTGGCCACAAAATGAGAAGACAGGACTCACTGGAAAAGATCCTGGTGTTGGGAAAGACTGAAGGCAAAAGGAGAAGGGGATGGATGAGATGGATAGATAGTGTCATGGAAACAGCAGACATGAACTTGAACACACTTCGGGAAACAGTGAAGGATAGAAGGACCTGGTGTGCTATGGTCCATAGGGTCACAAAGAGTTGGACACAACTGAATGACTGAATAACAACCATGCAATGTGACAAACACAATTTGAATCCTACTGACTTCTGCTTTTTTTTTACTCTTTGCCTAATTTTATGTTCTAGGGCTTATCCTTCTCCCACAGATATCTGGGCTTCTCTTTTAGAAGAGAATGTAAATTTTCATTTTCAGGTTAATATCTTAATATGAAGAGGCAGTACAGTACAGTGGAGTTAGGAAGACCTGGCTTTGACACATACTGGCTGTGTTACCTTGGGCAAGTCACTTACATTCACAGTACCCCAGATAACTTGCTAACACTAAATTACAAGATAGTTTCTGGTCTGCTTTGACATAGGCATTTCCTAATCAGCAGCTACCTAGACCAATGAAATCATGGGTCCATTTAAGAAACAAAAATAAAACTTAGGGTAACAGATTTAAATCAGAAAGAGATCTCAGACATCACTTAGTCCAACCCTCCCCCCCCCCACCCAATTTACAGATAAGAAACCTAAGGCCCAGAGGAGTTAAATGATTAGCCCATGGTCACACAGGCATGAAGTGATGTTAGATTCACACCCGGATCTTGTGATCAGTACTCTTTCTACCATTCCATCCTATCAATGGGCATAACAAACAGGTTTGCTTTCATGAAAACCACTAGGCAAAAGTTATAGATAGGCAAATTTTTACTGGATTAAAAAAAAAGAGTTTTGTAACAATTTGAGCAGGGCTACCCCACAAGATGGTCAATAGTATTGTTCCTCAGAAGCTAGACTTGTCACAGATATTGACTCATCTCCATGAGACTTTCTCTACCATGCTATAGATACCTCTTCACTCTGGAAGCTCCCCTGGATTTCTCCCCACATTGGAAGTAACCTCCCTATCTGCAGCCTCTTCCCCTTGCTGGCTGGTTCCTCCCACCTCCATTTTTAAGGAGAAAGCCCAGGCTAATCTCATCTTCATTCATCTCCAGGCGGCATCCCTGACTTTCTCTCTCATGCCCTTGCTCAGGTACCTTCTCCCTCCTTACCCGTTAGATCCCTTTTGTGTGCTATCTTCCCCCATTAGACTGTCAACTCCTTGAGGGCGGGGCTGTCTTTCTTTCTGCTTGTATTTGAATTCCTAACACTTAGCAGATTGCCTAGAGTAAGAGCTTAAAAATGTTTGTTGGCTTGACTAATGGGTAGAATTTGGATTTCTTAATCTTTCAGGACTCTTCTAAACTGGAGAATCTATTTACCAGTGCCAGAATAGAGAAATGTTAACCTCAAAATTTAGTGCAACACATGTATGACCTATATCTGATTGCTTGCCATCTCAAGGAGGGGAGAGAAGAGAGAGAGGGATAGAATATGGAACTCAAAACTTTAAATAAAAACATCAAAAAAAAAAAGCACAAGAGGAAACACCTGTAGGAATATTACACAAATATTAGTGTTAGACAAGAGACAAAAGTTTTATCAGACATCAGAACGGTTTTTTGTTGTAGGCTATTTTCCAGGCCATTGTGATCAGTATCTGCTAGTGAGCACCTGAACTAATTGATGCCCCAGTCCTGCTTACCACTGGTGCAGGGAGGTACTGCACAGTATTCCCATCTTACAGCTCGGTCCTTAGTGAAGCACCAGGGCCGTTCCCTTTCTCCTCCTGGATTTCGGCAATAATTCTCTGCATTTGATAGCTCAGGGAACATCTGAGGTGTCCTTCTGTGTACTTGGGGGGCCTGGTGAAAAAATAGCAACATCAGTTATCCTTAGTCTATACAGCTGATTATTCTTTCCAAATTAAATCCAGATATTGTGAGCTTTGATTTACTATAATTTTCATTAGATCAGATGATTCTTTCTTTTCTCTTTCCCCTTCCTCTAATCATATCGGTCAGAGGATTAGACACTGACAAGTACATCTCTGAAAGGATGTATCATTTACTTGATTCCTGAATGGAATCCTCAAATACTATATGAATTTAAGTGGAGGGCAAAGAGGCAGGGTTTAGTAGCAATTGACTAGGAAATCTCCCAGACAGAGCATCTCTATCTATCTGTAGACAGGAATCTACTGGTGAGGACTCTCACCCTAAGCAGAAGCATGTAGATAAAGAAAGTAGATGGGAAAAATAGAGATGAAACAGGTAAGTAACAAACAATTTTCTTTCTGAGAGCCAGGAGTCTTTTAAAAGCTCACCTGTTGGGGCAGCTAGGTGGTGAATGGCTAGAGCTCTGGTCTTGGAGTCAGGAGGACCTGAGTTCAAATCCAGCCTCAGACACATAACACTTACTAGCTGTGTGACCCTGGGCTAGTCACTTAACCCTAATTGCCTCACAAAAAAACCCCCACAAAAACAAAAAGCAAAAACTCACCTGTTCACTCCATTTCTGACAAGGAATGCCTGATATTGTGACATTGATGGTACCTTGGTACAATCTTCCCCTGTCCTGATAGCAAGTTGCTAAAACAAAGAGAACCACAAAAAAAGAAACCACATACAAAGTAAACTTTTAGGGTCAAAAGAACAATAGCATGTCAGAATTAAAAAATGAAAGTTAAAAAAACACACCCTACATTTGGAGTAAAGGAAGAATTAAAAATCACCTTAGTGACAGTAGGAATGGAAAAGCATGAATTTTCTTAACCAGATATTGTGAATATTCATGGCATTTTTGTAAAGGCTAGAGAAAGGATATATGACTTCAATGATAGAAGAAATTCCCTCTATTAATGCAGAGCATCCCCCTCTCTTTGATTTCATCTTGGAGAGCAGACTAAAACCCGAGAGGTCATTTGATTTGCCCAGGGCGGCACTGCTAGGATGCATCAGAGCCCTTTCTGGCTCTGAGGTGGGTTCTCCATACCCATTTTTGGAAGACAAGCATTATTGCCCCAACTTTGGAGACAGTGAATTGGCAAGACACTGAGACAGAGTCAGTTATCACAGGGTTGGGTATGGTAGTGGTTCTTGGATGTCATTCATTTTGCATGTCAAAAAACTGAGGCTGGGAGAGGTAATACTATTAGCAAGAGATTATAGAGGTAGTTTATTGGCAGAGATGGGACTAATCAAGGAATGGGGAGGGGGACTAAGCAAACGTAAACCAAATTTGTGTCTGCTTTGGGCAAACATTGAAAAGACTTGAGGGTGGTAGGAAGGGGAGAATGCTTTCAAGCATTAGCACTGAAGGGAAACATTAGGTTTGGTATTATTTCACTTTTGTTAAATTACTATTATTGCAACCCACAAACAAACCTATAGTATTTACGCTACTTCATGGGTTAAAGGTCCAGTTGTGAGCTAGCCTGGGACTAGAGCCCAGATTTCCTAATTCTTTATGTAGTGCTTTTCTACTACACAAGTTGAGTTTAAGTTAAATCACAAACTCTGAGTGGATGGAGATCCAGCATGGCACAATAGATAGAAAGCTTTCCATGGGGCCAGGAAGATCTGGGTTTAAATCCCATCTGTGATCAATGGTTTAGGTGACCCTAGGCAAGAAATCTAACTTTTCAGTGTTCTCAGCAAATGATGTCAAACTCAAATAGAAATGGGGCCCAGTAAATCATACACAAGGATCCCTATAGGCTGCATGCTTACTTAGAAAACCACCTATTAACATTATATCTATGTTCTATTGTAATTTTATTTTATTAAATATTTCCTAGTTACATTTTGATATGGTTCCAGCATCTCAGAGGACTGTGGAGGGCACATGTGGCTCTGTGTTCCACATCTTGGCCTTGGGCAACTTCCTGAGACTAAGTTACAGAGAGGGAGCCAACCTGCTGCCTTTGAAGTTATAGGTTCTGACCTTGTAGACAGTAGATTTCTTTTGAAAGATAACAGTCAAGTTTTGTTCATTTTTAGTAACAACCGTATAGGATTCTATTTCCAAATTTGGGGCATGAATTCAATTTGAAGGTTTTTTTTTTTCCTCTCTCTCTCTCTCTCTCTCCCCCCCTTTTTTTTTAAAGAAAAACCTTTCACCACTAAAAACACTAGGAAATATATTTCTGATTTAATAACAGATGAGCCACAAAGAATAATCTGACAGTAATTTCATTAACCCTAAAGAAACACCAGTGGACTTGGGAAATACAAAACCATTAGATTATGATGAGTATTCTAATGCTAACTTACTGTGTCAAATTTTGTCCTCATGCACACAGAACTTGAATGAATAATTCATGGAATTTGGCTTAGCGTGAGCCTATCTTCCTTTGCGTGTGGGTATCCATAATGTCATGATTCTAACTTCCTCTGACAGTCTTGTTTTGCCTTTTAGTCATACAAGGTGGTTATCGCTTCTTACAAGTAAATTGTGTGTTGCCTTTTAGAGAGTATGGTTACTGACCCACTGTCCGTAGACTATTGCTTTGACAAGTCTTGTTTTCAGTGATGGGTTATTCTGGCCTCCTTCCTGCTGTTCTTCATAGGTGTTCATCTCTCATCTCTGTGCCTGTGCCCAGGCTGTCCCTGATGCCTGGAATGCACTTCCTCCTCACCTCTGCCTATTAGAATACCTAGTTTTGGGGCAGCTAGATGGCACAGTGGATAGAGCACTGGCCCTCAAGTCAAGAGGACCTGAGTTCAAAGGTGGCCTCAGACCAAACACTTGACACTTACTAGCTGTGTGACTCTGGGCAAGTCACTTAACCCCGATTGCCTTAAAAAAAAATACCTAGTTTTCTTCAAAGTTCAGCTTCAATGCAACCATCCACACAAGGTCTTCCCTACTCCCCCCACCTGTTGATCTCCCCTGCAAACCCCCCCCCCAATTGCTTTGCATATATTTTTTACTTCTATGCATGTGTTGTTTTCTTCTACAGAATGTAAGATCTTTGAGGATGAGGACTGTCATTTCTGTCTTTATATCCCAAATGCCTAAGCATAGCACGTCCATAAATAAATGCTTTTTGGTTGTTGGATTGATTGATCTGCCTCCATTCCCTCCTTGTGCTAGTGATATGCGTTTCTGCCCCAAGTAGGAAGGCACAAAGTGGACTAACCAGGAAGGCTTAATGGACCCTTTCCTCTTCCTCTCTCCTAAGGGTTCTTTCTCTACTAGCACCTATGTTGGGTAGATGTTGCCAGAACACTTAGGTTCAAAACTTCTTGGGCTCACCCTAGCCTATTCATTTTAGCCTTTACTTATAATCCATGGTCCTGTTTTTCTCATCATGGGGAAAATAATTCAGAGTTAAAGGCAATCTCTCTCCTGGGGGATGGAAAAATTTTTTCTGACCTGATGTGTTTACTAGGCCTAGGCCTAGATACCTGTATCATCTGTCCTGACTTCCTTTTATTCAAGAAGTCAGTGATTCATACACACACACACACACACACCTATACATATACATATACACACATATGTTGTTTATCCTTCATTCTTGAAGAGGACCAACACACATATATACATGCCTACATATATATATGTGTATACATTTATATATATACACATACACATATGATATTCTCTCTGCCTCAGTCTTCATCCCTGTCTTCCCTTCTTCCTCAGTCCATGTTCTCTCTCTCTCTTTTTTTCTCCCCTTCCTCCCTCATCTTCTGTCTTTCTTTTCATTTTTATATCACCTTTATTTTCAAAGACATCTCTGCCCTCTGCAGAAAGTTATACCTTGTAATAAAGAATAAAATAATAAAAACTAAGGAGGAGGGAAAAAGCAGTTCAGCAAAATCCAACAGTTAAGCCAAGCCTAATCTTGTTACCTCTGAGGAATGGGGAGGGGTACTTAGCAAATGTTAACCAAATCTATGTCTGCTTTGGGCAAATATTGAACCTAATCACCCTTTAAAATGTTGTTCCTATGGAAAAAATATGTTCTGAGTTCCAAACTGCCTTAATGAATGCATGGTTGTAACATATTCAGGCTCTACTAAAGGCCTAATCTGATGCCTCATTGTGGCTCAGAGGTGGTACTGGGTTCTCAAAGACTATGATACTGGTATGGGTGTGTGTGTGTGTGTGTGTGTGTGTGTGTGTGTGTGTGT